TGGACGCTTCTGTTCTCCTTAAAGATAGTGATGATGACATGAGCAATTCTAGACGACTGTTTTCCTCTTATAAATAAAGTCAAAATAGTAAATGATTGAGTGAAATTGTCTATATGCATCTATAAAATCATGTGAGTTTAGTGTTTACACATTTACTTGCAATTTTCAAAATGGAAGTTAACAACACATAGATATAATAATTGCATAGACTTTGTTGCATTTAGAGTTAAATGTCGCGTGCATGCTCACAGTCATATTTAGTAAGAAAGTATCATTCAATATTGATATAGCAACATTAATTTTATGGAAGGAAGTGATAAAAGTTTAACCCCTTTACCCTGCATTCATATTATATATCAATAGTGATATCAAATTTGTCACCATATGCAAATACTTTTTGTAGTGTCAAAAGTATATTGTGGAAGTTACTTGCTAACAAACATATATAGTCTATGTTGCATGAAAAAAGACTGTGTGCCCTCTTGTGGCCTTGAGTTGCGCTGACAAATATGCCATCTTTGCCTTCTTTACCTGTAAAGTTCAAACCCAAACAGAAATAGGCCCTACATAATTTTATATTGTTATATTTATATTGTTTTTAAACTTCAATCTTCTATACTTAAGCAATTTGAATATTTAGCTTTTAGCTTTTTAATAAATTAGCTAATTAAAAAGCATTTTGCTTAAAAAGCGCATACCATCGGAAAAAGGCTAACTTGAGTCACATGAGGCACCTCACCCCATATCTTGCTAGATGTTGCTGTAGACGGTTTTCCTTTCATTAATGCCTGACTGTTGGCACCGGTGTCTTGTTCATCTAGTTTTCTGTGTGTACATAAGCCTTACTGTTTGCTGTGTTAGTGTGTATATGTTCTTGTCACTTGGTTCCTGTTTGTTTTACATATCCTGCACTTTTAATTAACCTTTAAAAAACAAACTGTTTCTTTGTTTATGATTTAGATTAAAATCATTACTTCAACACCTTCGCTTTAAACTGGTAAATAGCATGGCTTTACTGATCCACCTGCTAGACCAGTATCAAACCACCAACCCAACCCAGCGGACATTCATAAAGGTCTATAATGAAATAGATGACTTGATGAAATAGATTTATTTGTGTATGTACAGCCCACAGGCTTTTTTATTCTATTTGCACATTACTTGTTAAATTATCTTCATATAAATCTTACCTTGTTGGTAAGACGTGATGGTGGAAAACATTTTAGGATGTAAGAAGTTTTTTCCCAAATCTTTGACGTTCCCTCGCAAAACTTTTGCGTTCCCTAAAAAACTAGGTGTCGTTTTGAGGAGAACCAGAGCCCGTCTAACGGAGAGTCTTGGCACTTCCTATTAGCCCCGTTGTGTATCATCCTGGTTGCAGTTCCATTAGAATTCCACTGGAGGTGATCACGGGCGAGAGCAGAATGAATGGGAGTCTATGGGGCTAAACGGCTAAAAGTGTCTCTTTCACTTGCTTGTCGTTAAATTAACATAGATTTTATTGTTGATTCCGCAAGTTCAATATAGATTATAGGCCAAAAGTCGAATGAACGAGTGCTTATGTCCTTTTGATTTCTTACAGGTTAGGCCGTTGTTGGCCAGAACACGCTAGCATTCTGCTATTGTGTGACGTCATCACAGTTTTGAACAGATTTTTAGAACAGATTAGTGAACTTAAAAATGCAATTTTCAGCTGAGTGTATTATCTTAGCCCTCCCTTTTGAATGTAACTTTCAAATTACTTGACAAAAAATTACATCCTGCGAAAAGTGGATTTCTGCGGGTGAAACCCCATTGACTCCCATTCATTCTGCACTCGACCGCGAGCGCCCCCGCATGGACAGAGACGCGTTACTGCAGCCAGTCCAGAACCCGGAAGTAACCAGCCAGTGCCAATTCTCTTCAATGGGCTATATGCACGCATAAGTTCCGCATTTGACGTAAGGATGCTCGTCCATTTCCGGTTGTGTAGATTAAAGCGGAGAAAAACCGGAGAAAACGGGATTATGGCAAAGTCTTCAATATTTACTGTCCTCCCGTCTTTGAAACGAAACGTACATACGTTTAGATGTAATTTTATATATAGTTATGTTTATTTAATATAATTTTAAAAAGAAGCATAAACACAACGAGGGGTGTCTGTTTTATCTGTTTTTGTGACTAACGTTTCATTAGTATAACCATGGAGTATAAAATTCAATATAAATTCTCGGTATTGCATTGGACATGATCGGCGGAAGTTATCGAGCATCCTTAATCCTTCACCGGAAATAACGCCGTGCATACAGCCCATTAGACATTCTCTGGGAGAATTCACCTTTGGCTAAGCCCCGCCCCCTTAGTTACTGTTGCTACTTCCGTCAAACTTCATCTGGGCTCTGGTTTGGTATGTGACAGCCCTTCCTGCTGAAATGTTATTAAACTTTTATAAAGCAGCAAATAAAGTGTCCGATAGAAGTAGGCAAAAGGGGCTGCAATATGCGTTCGAAGGCTATATTCATGAGGTGAAACGCAAGAAACAACCAGGCATCCAAAATAGAGGCAAAAGCATAACGTTACCGGTCACAGTCAAAAAATGAACCACCGCATATCCTAATCGAGACGGAGGCTGGGACTAACAATATCAGGGAGAAACACTGTTCATGCAAAGCTGGGTAGGTCTCTATTCACTTCTATAATCGTTATTACAAAGCAAACGGACTACACGAGAATGTATTTATTAGCAGCGTGTGCTACAGTTAGCGTATCAATATGAGAACCGATTATCATAACCTAAAACATTATAAAACAGTCTAACTAGTATAACTTCACAGTAAGGTTAGAAGCAAAAAGGTGTGCTTGTTGATCTTTGAGGGGTTTAGCTGACTGAGGACGTCCATAGCTACAGTTTAAAGACGACACTTGTCAGGATTTGACTTCGGTTTTGGGAAGGGGAAAAAACGGACACCCCCCTCCAACCTCTCTGGGAAACGCGTATCTGTGTTACAAATGCCCGAGGCACAACGTTTAACCATAATTTTGATAAAACTTCGACGGTAATAGCCTGCCGAGACCAAAAATATGAGACGCCTGCGTTGAAAGTCAATGGAGCGTTCTTGGCTGCGCTGTGATTGGTCAATCTACATTCTAGGGCGTGGCTTAGCCAAAGGCGAATTGGGTTGTAGCTCGTTTTCTAGGTTACTGTGATTGTAATTAGGTGACGTTTGTGTTTTAACAACATTTACCTCAAGAATGATTCGGGAAGTTCGAATAGCCTATGTGAATATATTGCCAACTTCACTCCTTGAGTTAAGCACTGACCGCATTTCTTTATATTTGAGTCCAAACAAAACGCTCTATTAGTGTACGGAGCTCTGAAACACGCAAAAGATTTGTCCCTTTAGGGGCTCTGTAGTTTTCTTTGAAATCATGAATAGTGGTTTCAATATTTTAGGATGTTGCGTGATCTTCCATTCTGCAGGATGCAAATTTAAAAGATGTTTAATCATCATCTGAGATAGGTAAGTGTGGGCAGGATCTGGATTGTTTAAGCAGGATGTTTATTGTCCCACCCAGTTTTTAGGCGTAGGTCCTAACAATACATTGTAAGTAAGCAAAAAGATAATAAAAAAATATATATATATTTTTTTTGTCTGTACAGTTTGTTTGTATTTTGCTTGTATTTATTTATCCTTTTAACAACTGGACAAAGGATAACCTATGAAAATTAGCCGATTCACTAATAATGTTAATAAATATACACTCACTCACTAAATATAGCCTATATATAATTCAAAAGTTTTTTTTTTTAGTAACTCACAACTGAATGTAGGTAAGATCTTAAGCAGGGCTTGGCATTAAGCCTTGAAAATCGGCATATTTATGGTGTTTTTTACCATTATAAAGGCCAAGTTTTTTTGACCTTATTAAATATTTGTGTTATCTTTCATGTCAAATTCTTAAAGTTGATCAAGAAATTCAATTATAATTATAAGAAGCTATATCGGCTGTTACCAATCAAATTAAATAGGCTAATTACATTAAAAATTACAACTGCAATCAATAATGTTATGAAATGAACGTTTTAAAGATGTTTTTAAATTTACAAATAAGAATTGTTGGGGGGAAATGCAATGATACTTTGAAACAAAACTAAACTGCCAGTAGGTGTTGGCAAGTTACTGAGTGAGTCATTGAGTCATTCATTCGACTGATTCGTTCCAAACACAAAATCATTCAGTAAAAATCTATGTAACAACAAGTAACTTGCTTATTTAACTATAAAACATATTTAACATTTTCAATCGTGATAATATTTGGCATAACAGCTCAGTATGTTAATTAACTATATGTTAGGCTATAATATATATATATTTTTTTAAATGAACATTTAGAATTTTTACCTCAGTATGTTTTCTTCTCTTTATGTGTGCAGTTGCAGTTACGTTCATTTGTTTCGATTTCTCCACGAATGTCTCTAAGAAATACCTCTTTTCCACCAGCATAAACCGGGTGTTATAGCAACGCGAATTTTACGAGGTGGCTAATTTGTCGTTGTAAAATCTCACTCGTAATTAGTTCGATTTTTGATAAATCATACATATTTTACGAGTTGGCCAATTCGTATGAATTGTACTGGTTTTCTTTCTTCTGCAGAACACAAGAAAATTTACGCCCGCCCGAACAACAATGAACACCATCGGCTTTCGTTTTATGGACAAAAACACGTGCAGAAAAAAACCCACAAATACATATTCCTGTATCTACTTTTGTGTTCTACAGAAGAAAGAAAGTCATGCAGATTTTGAATAACATGTCGGTGAATAAAAGATGACAGAATTTAAATTTTGGGTGAACTGTCACAATAAGAAGGTTCAATTTCCTTTTTCATCCTTTAGGCTATCATTCAGTCAATTGTAAGCTGATTTTTCTGTTTCAAGAAATTGAAAGATTTTCATTTTCTCATTTAGACCCTCCCCTTCTGATAAGCTATAAAATGAGCACTGAAACAAACATTTTTATTTTGATCACCTCCTCATCAAAGATGGATCTGCAAATCTCAGTTTTTCTTCTGTTAATTCTTTTCACTGCAGGTACAAATAGTGTTTGTAATGTTTTTAAGTAGAAATGCAGATCATTTATGTATTTGACTGTCTCTCTGTTTTATTACTAAAGGACACACTCTCAGCTGTTATAAGTGCATGAGTACAAACGGTACTTGTGCAAAGCAAACGGAAGAACTATGCACCAATGGAGCCTCTTCATGTTCAAGTCTTACAACAGTGTCACGAGATGGTAAGTCCAGTATGATAGATTCAAATGTACTATTATATTTGACTGATGAAGAGGCTGGTATTATTTATTGGTGCTGACACAAACTTTAACTTGTCACACAGTAAGATAATTAAAAAATGTCTATCACATTATATTCTATGAAGATTACTGTTTTTGTATTGTTTTGCTGTCAGATTGTTATGCTATAAGCATGTATTTGTGTTAAATAGTTTGAAATATATTTATATAACATATTTACAAAATACTTCAAAAAATATTGTAATTTTAACTGTAAACACTTGTAAAAAAAACTACAGAAAAAAACTGTTAATTTATTAACAGTACGTTCCCTTTGCTGTTTTTTTTATAGTCATCATATTTTAATCTTTACTGTATTGTTACCGTACAAAAATCTCATTTGACCCCACAAAAATAATGTCTTATTTTTAAAAATACACAAATAATTATTCAAATAAACACTTAATGTGTAATCTTGTGCAGTTCATCATTGCTAACATTAGCTCACATGCATGTGTTAGAAAAACAACATAAATTACAAAAACAGAATTAACAAAGAGATGATCAGTGCATCAACACAATTACTGCCTTTAAATAAAGCAACACGCAGCATTGAGTCAATGTTTCTCGTTTCTCATGCTCTACTTTTCAGCACAGAGGTAAAAAAGAACTCAGATTGAAACCCTTTTAAATCCCAACAGAGCATTAAACACTAGTACATCTACTATATATTATCTTGCATGTGCAAAAAAAATAAATAAATAACAATTTAATTCAACGTGTATTCTCTGGGGCTTCATGCATGGCTACATGTTGCATATATGGACAAAATGGGCATAGTAATGTGCATACACAATTTTCCAAGTACACATCGGGATTTATAGTGCTTTTGCACTCTTTGAGTGGAGTGAGTGAAGTAACGAAGTAAACAGAATGATTTAAACTCAGTTTAACATCTGATATTGGAATAAATATGCCACTCTCAATAATGGAGTTAAGCACTGAAATTTCATGAATTTATTATCCAGAAGGTTAAAAAAAAAAAAATTTAAAGATAAATGTTTTTTAGTGGATGTGATGCTTTTGAACGCTTTTCCTGTGTTTTAATGTTTTAACTACAACGAGGATTGCTTGGCGCATGATAATTTCGCTTTAAATTGTATTTCAAATGGCAGAACTCATGTTCTGAGAAAATATTTATTCAACCTACCTAGAGCACGTCAGGCAGATTTCCAGGTATTCTCAAACAAAAGTAAGAGCAGCCCAGTTGATGCTGTAGTTGGGGTTGTGACGGTATACCACGTACGATTATCATATCGTGCACATTTGCTTATCTACGGTATTAGTAAAAAAAAATGAGATGGTGAATCTCACCTGTGGATAAGCAACTTATTCCTCTTGACTGCTTTAGACTCTCAGCTTGCTCTACCCACACAAGTACAGCGGAGAAAATATCAGAGACAGAGGCTGCGTCTCATTTCAAAGGCTGCGTTCATTAGTCTTGCTTATTCAGATTAGGTGTAAAAATCAAAATAATGTGCAGTTGATCCGATCCGATCTTTGATTTATTCATGTTTGATCCGATCTTTGTTTTATTCATGTTTTTAGGTAATCAAACTTATAAAGGTTGTACTACTGACTGCCAACATGGGTCCCAGAACATAGGTATTTCTAAGATGGCTACTTTCTGCTGTAACACTGACCTGTGTAATGTCAAAGATGCTCCAGGTAATGTTCTTTCCTAAGCAAATGACTTCTTTAAATGATCTTCTGTAAAGTCAACACTAAAGTTACAATCAGGAAATAAATTGTTCCCACAACCACTCCCCTTTCTGTAGATGATTTTAACATCCCCAATGGAAAGAAATGTTTCTCTTGTGATGGGCAGAACTGCACAAACATATTGAAGTGTACAGGGAGTGAAGACCGTTGCTTTAAATATGAAGGTGAGAATCTGGAAAAGGAAGAAGGTTTGAAAAATGAAGAAAAGAAGTAAAGCTTAGACTAACCTTTGTTTCTTTCTTTTCATCAGGGACTTCCGGAAACGAGTCATTTGTTATACAAGGCTGTATCTCTAAATCTTTTTGTGATACCTCAACGGTTTATAATGTTACAGTCCTCAGATGTTGTGAGGGAAACCTGTGTAACGGTGGAGCCAACAACACGAGTTTCACCCAGAACACCTTCCTGTTCTTCTGCTGTTCTCTGCTCTACTTCCTGCTGCAATGAATACAGCAACTCTACAGATTCTACATCGCTAATTTTCTCTGAACTAAATTTGGTGGGACAAAATAATATGGACACCCTTTATTATTATTATAGGGGTTAAAATCTTTTGTGTAAAACACAAAACATTGCAATTATCATTTATTTTTTGATGTTTAAATTCTCTTGTTTGTATGTCAGTGGGGTATATGTGGTTTTCGGCAGTGTTTAGTACAAGCTGTGTGTGAAATGGGTGACTTGTCGGGTGCCAAAAAAGGGCAAATCATCAGAGGCCAATTAAGAGCATCTATAACCTTAACCGCCCAATTGTTGTGTGTTTTAACAATTTATGATTGTGTTTTAACAATTTATGATCTTTATGATTATGGTGACTCGAGTATGTTCACAGTTATTGGGTGTTTTAATTTAAATAAAATTGTAATAATTTAAAGGGATATTTCACCCCAATATTAAAATTCTGTCATAATTTACTCACCGTCATGTTGTCCCATAGTTCCTTTCTTCTGTTGAACAGAAAAGAAGATATTTTATAAAATGCAGTTAAACAGAGCGTTGACGATAGCATTGATAGCATCTATCTATCTATCTATCTATCTATCTATCTATCTATCTATCTATCTATCTATCTATCTATCTATCTATCTATCTATCTATCTATCTATCTATCTATCTATCTATCTATCTATCTATCTATCTATCTATCTATCTATCTATCTATCACACCTAATAAATAAATATAATCACATTCACTATTACACTTATACAATTATATAATATATGAAAATGTATTTCATGATACACATATCCACAACATATGACATTGTTTTACCAACCAACTGACACGAACACCTTAGTAAAATCACAGATCACAATCACTAATTTAAGTGCTAATAATTGTAACTCTAACATTGTTAAGACAGCATTTGTACTTTGGGTGTGTGTTGATGAGGATCATTATTTTTATGTTTTTATTGTTTTGTAAAAGTCTCAAATTGACAACTTCAAACTCCGTCATCGTCTAATCTATTACTGATTGGTGCACACATTACACTCTAAAAAATGCTGGGTTGTTTTAACCCAATTTTGGGTCAAATATGGACAAACCCGAAATGTTGGGTTAAAAATGTAATGTTAAAATTTAACCCAACGGCTGGGTTAGTCCATATTTGACCCAAAGTTGGGTTAAAGCAACCCAGCATTTTTTAGAGTGTATGATTAACACAATTATCAATAATATTTCTTGTGTTCAGGTTAGTTTCTTCAGTTATAGACTCAGTTTTATTTATTTTATTATTTACATATGATAAATAAATCAGAATGAATCACTCAAAATAAGTCTAATGCTGTTCTAGGTGGATAAACATCCACAAACATCCGTTGAATAATTACAGGGTATGTTACAAGCTGATTTCGTGATTGGCTAAAATCTGGGTGTTTTAGGGTGAGGCAGTATAATTGGAACGACACCCATAACCAGAGACTCATTCTCCTCAGACACGCTGGGCAACTTCATTTCTGCAACCTACTCTAGGTAATGCTTTTAGAGGCACTTTTATGTATGTGATTTAAATGGTAACCAAGACAATAACATTTGATTAAAAGAGATCTAAACGAACTACATTGTGTGAAGAGATCAAATCTGCCGTTGATAAAACTACAGCTTTTTCTTGCTCAGCTTGTGAAAATGGAGTCTTTGACTGCAGCAAACACACAGTTCTCCCTCAACCTGTTCAAGAAGATCAGCGGAGGAAACGCATCAGGAAATGTGTTTTACTCTCCTTTCAGCATCTCCTCGGCTCTGGCCATGGTGTTGCTCGGTGCAAGAGGAAACACAGCGGGTCAGATGATTAAGGTAATGATTAATACTACTACATATCTCACACTTATGTATGTTTAATGACCAGTAATTGAAAAGTGAATATATAGGCTATATGTGTGTGTTTGGACAAAGTTGTTGGGTTAAAAAATGAATTTAAAAAATTGGGTTTGAATTTGGATCTAAATTTAAACATTTTTTTTTTTCTAAATTTGACCCAAACATGGGTTGAAAAACAACCCAGCATTTAGAGTTCATATGATAAACATATACTCATTCTACCCATAATAATGCTGTGTAGGTCTTGGGCTTTAAAAACCATCTAAAACCCAACGCCGCGACTCCAGGACATCATGATTCAGTGGACCAAATTCATTCCAGCTTCAAAAAGTTTATGAGCGATCTGAACAAACCAGGAGTCCCGTATGCGTTGAGTCTCGCCAACCGCCTCTACGGAGAGCAATCCTACCAGTTTGTTGAGGTAAGACTCGGTTTATTCACTGGAGGATCTGGAAATGTTCTCAACTCTAATATCATTTGCACCTCAATCGGTTTGATGTGTTACAGAAATTCCTCAATGACGCAAAAATCTACTATGAAGCCGGACTGGAGAAGGTGGACTTCAAGAACAAACCAGAGGCGGCTCGTGTCGACATCAACAAATGGGTGGAGAAAAAAACACAAGGTGAAATCCAGCATAAGCTTACTCCACAAATATTTCGCTGTGTTTCAGCAAAGTTCAGCAAAAGGACCATGTTCAGCTCTATGAGATATTTAGTTTTGGAGGTAAAAGTTTGAACTTCAATGCACTATTTATTTGGCCGTAAAGTTCACATTTCCATAAGAACTTTGAGACCGACACTTTACAAACACTAGTTAACAATACAGTATTCACAATTACATATAAAAATATATAGTATAAATTATGTGTATTTGCCGTGCTGTCCAAGTAGAGGGCTCCGACCTCGTAAATTTGCCCAAACCCACTCATCCCACTCATCCTGGGATGGGAATAATCTTGAGTGAGGAGTTTGGGGTTGAAGAGGGACGCTGGAAAAACTGAGTCTGACTCTACTGTATATAAGCCTCCTCTCGCGCTCATTAACTAGATTATCTGAACACAGATAATCCGAATTACCCGTAGCAGATCAATATAGGTGGAGCTGGGGATGTAGAGGGTTTCTAAAAGCGCACTGCACTGCTAAGGCAAATGCTACCCAAAGATTTGATGGTTGAGTAAAGAGCTCATTGGTTCATACTGCAGGAACCAATCAGCTACAGTATGTCCTATCAGAGCCCGTCTAACGGAGAGCCTTGGCACTTCCTATTATCCCCATTGTGTATCATCCTGGTTGCAGTTCCATTAGAATTCCACTGGAGGTGATCACGGGCGAGAGCAGAATGAATGGGAGTCTATGGGGCTAAACGGCTAAATGTGTCTCTTTCACTTGCTTGTCGTTAAATTAACATAGATTTTATTGTTGATTCCGCAAGTTCAATATAGATTATAGGCCAAAAGTCGAATGAACGAGTACTTATGTCCTTTTGATTTAGGCTGTTGTTAGCCAGAACACGCTAGCATTCTGCTATTGTGTGACGGCATCACATTTTTGAACGGATTTTTAGAACAGATAAGTGAACTTTCAGCTGAGTGTATTATCTAAGCCCTCCCTTTTGAATGCAACTTTCAAATTACTCGACAAAAAATTACATCCTGAGAAAAGTGGATTTCTGGGGGTGAAACCCCATTGACTCCCATTCATTCTGCACTCGACCGCCAGCGCCCCCGCATGGACAGAGACGCGTTACTGCAGCCAGTCCAGAACCCGGAAGTAACCCGCCAGTGCCAATTCTCTTCAATTAGACATTCTCTGGTCCTATCGAGAATGATGTGATTATGAACAGGTGAGACAAATGACCTATTAGCCTGTGCCATCTAGAGTTTCATCCCAGAACTTTGTATTTGTATTTTAGAGAAGATCAAGGACTTGGTGCCACAAGGAGCCGTCGATGAGATGACGAGACTGGTTTTGGTGAACGCCATCTACTTCAAGGGAGACTGGGAGAGGAAATTCAAAAAAGAAGACACCAGTGATGGACAGTTTAAGCTGAACAAGGTGAGATTTCATGCTCTTTAAAATAAATAATATTTTCGACAGTCACGAAAAGAGCAGTTATAATGTGTTTCCATTGATGTTTGGCAGAATCAAACTAAACCAGTGGAGATGATGTATCAAAAGAAGAGGTTTCCTCTGGGCTTCATCCCAGAGATGGACAGTCTTGTTCTGGAGCTGCCGTATGAAGGGAATAATCTCAGTATGTTGATCATCCTTCCGAATAAGATGGAAGACGACACCACTGGCCTTCAGAAGGTGAGAGAGCATAGTTTTTTGGGGGGTTTTTAGCAAGTAAAAGGCCTTTTAAAGACGTCCACATTCGCTGTGTTTTTACTGTGAAATCGTTTCTGATATTTATAAAGTACACGTAAGAATAACTTTTAAATTATTTGATGAACACTTACTGGACTAAAGCAACTTAGGTTTACTACTAAGTATAAAACGTGATCTATCAGGCTTTTGATGAGTGTTTATTTGTTGATCTCAATCATCATTGTATTGCATTATATATGTTTTAAACTACAGAGCTTTGATCATAAAACTAAGCACTTAAATAACATCTTACTAGTGCATCTTATTGGCAGATATAGCGGAAGTACTGATATTATATGTATTACGTCCCGCGTCTAGGGGAATATAAGTCACCTACGAGGCGTAATTTAAAGCAACAAGAAAGAAAGAGGGGTAGAAAAAGAAAGAAAATAAAAAAAAGAACAAGCAATAAAACAAACCAAATCACAGGTCGTAACATATGCATTACATGTCGTCTGCTCAGATACGATTTAATTGATTTCCAGTACAAGCTATCAGAATTTAATTTGCCGTTTGGCCATATAAATTGCAGCATCTGCACCAGATTACATATCGTTGCCTAGCCTGTCAATAAAATCATTTTACTGTCTCCATGACTTGCATTTTGTTTTAATGAAATGGCTGATCCAAACACACAAAAAAAATCATCATATCATTGATGCTACACAAACTGACCCCAGTTTATGCAAATAGACATAAACAATATCTCACTGTATTATCCAGCTTGAAAAGGCACTGACCTACGAGAAGCTCATGGAGTGGACCAAACCCAGCAAGATGATCCAACAGGAAGTTCAAGTGTCTCTGCCCAAATTCAAGATGGAGGAAACATACGACATGAAGAGTCTTCTGATCAGCATGGGAATGAAGGATGTGTTTGACGAGAAGAAGGTGAATCTTTCAGGCATGTCCTCCAACAACAACCTGGTGGTGACGAAGGTGATCCATAAAGCCTTTGTTGAAGTAAATGAGAAAGGAACTGAAGCGGCTGCAGCCACCGCCTTCGTCGTGTCTTTTGGATGTGCAATGTCCTCCACTCCCCCAAAAACCTTCATTGCAGACCACCCTTTCCTTTTCTTCATCCGACATAATCCCTCCAATGCCATTCTCTTCTATGGACGCCTCTGTTCTCCTTGAAGACAGTGATGATGAAGTGATAATTCTAGACTGTGTTCCTCTGATAAAAAGAAATCATTAGTAAATAATTGAGTGAAATTGTCTGTGTTCATTTACTTTCACAGGGTCAGTATCTTTGTCAAAATACAAAGAATTTAAGATCTTTTTAACATTTTTTTTTTTTTGTATGCTACTTCTATAGTTCTGTCCTCCATAATTTTCTTGGCATCGAGTGTACAAGTTCACAACAAATTTTCACATCTATTCTGTTTACCTCTTGGATGATGACCTCGTCTCTACGAAATCCCCCACAGGTGAGGTCCGGTGAAAAACTTGTCGACTGAAGCATTTTAACCATGAGAGAATGTATAGTGTTATCACTTTGAAAAAGATTTCATATTAGCCTTCATAAATTCAATGGTGTGTGAATTCATGACATATTTATTAGTAAAAACTCACCCACTACTTAGTCACGCCTTTATAAGAAATGTTCTATTACTGAAAAATAACCATATATCTCCGAAAAGGCCAAATGAGAGTACCGGGAGTTTATGTGAGCTGCCGGTACACTAGAATCAAGCACTGTGTGAACAGCAAACCAGAACATGCAGGCAACTATTAGATTTTTTTAGATTAGATTTAGATTTTTTTTTTTGATTATCAGGTAAACAACACATAGCACTGGCAGCGTTGCGTCAACAATTCGTTGGTCAAGTCTGAGGAAACACGCAACAGGCCTGAGAACAGGCTCTTAATAATAACAGAGAACAGGCTCTTAATAATAATTTAATTATTATTAAATTATCCTTTTTTTCCCCGTTGTGACATAAATCAGAATGAAACGGCTTCTGAAATGAGAAAAAAAAATTGGACGGGGCTTGATTTCAGCCATCAGTAATAGATTGGATTGTTGGAAGTTGGGTGTTGATATGAAGGCAGATCTTAAAGGAATTATTTCACTTTTTACTCATCCCCATGTTATCCAAGATGTCCATGTCTTTCTTTCTTCTGTTGAAAAGAAATTAAGGTTTTTCATGAAAACATCTCCATATAATGGACCTCAATGGGGTCCAAACGGTTCAAGGTCCAAATGAGAGTTTCAGTGCAGCTTCAAAGGGATTTAAACGACACCAGGCGATGAATAAGGGTCTTATCAAGCAGTCATTTAGAAAAAAATTTAAAAAAGTTTACGTTTTTAAAGAGCAAATGCTCGCCTTGAACTGTTCTGTGATGCGTGTTCGTAACTCTCCTGTTTGAACTCTTGAATCTTTTTTCGAGTCATTTGGTTGATTCAACAAATAAAACGAAATGACTCGAAAAAAGATTTGCTCATATTGATGAACGAGTTCGAACAGGAGAGTCACGAACGTGCATATTAAATGTTAATTAAATGCATATTAAATATTAAATGCAATATTAAATGACTACAACAGCAATTTCTCACTAGAAAAGTGGAGAACTGTCATGAAATGCACACAAAGAAAGATAGATCCAAGCGCAATATAATGGGGTAATCCATAATCATAGGTCATCCAGGCAAAGGGTCAAAATCCATACAAAAGCAGTCCAAAACAAACAGGAACAGATCTCTATAGTGCAGCTGACATTAAACAAGGATTCCATGACAGTGAATAAAACAGACAGAGTATAAATAGGCAGATACAAACAATGTAAGCGGGAACAGCTGTGTGCAATGAACATTAATGAGTATAAACCGTGGATTATGGGAAATGCAGTTCCTGATGTGGTGGTGACGGCAAGGGGAAGAGACCTCTAGTGATAAACATTTACACACAAACTGAGACCAGCCGTAACTTTCAGGCGGCATCTTTATTGTTCTAGCTCAACTGTCACAGACTGGAAAAAGCACGGGATTCTGGGATATCAAAGGCGATAAAGGATACATCTATAGATGCTACCTTCAAAAATCGATCAGAGGAAGGGATCTCAGGAGACAGGAAGTGAAACTCTGAAGGCAGCATTTATAAGTTTTCAGATGCAGCATACATGTACATTTACTCCCTGAACTGTTCAGTCCTTTGTCGGCTATTGTTTCTTACGGAGGCGTATTGCATTCACTTGAAGAAAAAAAAATGTGCTCTGTTTTTCTGAATTAACGAGTTAATTTTTCATGAGAAAAAAAATTTTGCTCTGTTTTTCTGAATTAACGAGTTAATTTTTCATGAGAAAATTTTTTTTGCTCTGTTTTTCTGAATTAATGAGTTAATTTTTAATGGATTTTTTTTTTTGCTCTGTTTTTCTGAATTAATGAGTTAATTCAGAAAAACAGCAAAAATAAATTTTCTCATGAAAAATTAACTCATTAATTCAGAAAAACAGAGCAAATTTTTTTTCTCATGAAAAATTAACTCATTAATTCAGAAAAACAGAGCAAATTTTTTTTCTCATGAAAAATTAACTCATTAATTCAGAAAAACAGAGCAAAAACTTTTTTTCTCATGAAAAATTAACTCATTAATTCAGAAAAACAGAGCAAATTTTTTTTTCTCATGAAAAATTAACTCGTTTATTCAGAAAAACAGAGCAAATTTTTTTTTCTCATGAAAAAAATTAACTCGTTAATTCAGAAAAACAGAGTAGATTTTTTTTCTTCAAGTGAATGCAATACGCCTCTGTAGTTTCTTGTATGCGTGTTTCTATTAAAGTCTAATTTGAAATGTTATCTTTCTATCATATAATTCACATATTACCTAATAAATAAATGCACGATCATATTAATTATTAAACTTGGGTTATATTTATATTATATGATTAAGAAAAGGCATTTCTTGATTCAACACATGACCTTGTTTTACCAACTGACACGAACACCTTATCACAATCACTAAATTAAGTGCTAATAATTGTAACTCAGACATTGTTTAGACGAGCATTATACTTTGGGTGTGTGGTGATGAGGATCATTATTTTTAATTACTTTAGTTTTTATTATGTTATTTTTTTAAAGGTCTCACATTGGCACTTACTTCCAACCGTCATTAGCTAATCCATCATGGGGTTGTGCAACACATTATGATTAATAATGACTAATACAATTATCATTTATATTTCTTAAGTTCAGGTTACTTCCTTATAATTTAATTACACTTATATTTTGCTTATGATAAACAAATGAAGAGTGAATCACAAGTCTTATGCTGATTCAGGTGGATTAACATCAGTTACCGGGAATGTTACAAACTGATTGGGCTTAAAGCCTGGGCGTTTTAGGGTGAGACATCATTTATTAGAGTGAAATCCATCACCGGAGATTCATTCTCCTCAGACAGACTGGAACACTTCATCATTTCTGCCGACTACTCTAGGTAATGCTTTTTGGTGTACTTTTATGTTTGGTAGCCCACACGGTCTTTGTGTCATGATGAAAAAGACCTTCAAATCTGCTGTTGATAAAACTACTTCTATTTCTTGCTCAGCTTGTGAAAATGGAGTCTTTGTCTGCTGCAAACACACAGTTCTCCCTCAACCTGTTCAAGAAGATCAGCGGAGGAAACGCATCAGGAAATGTGTTCTTCTCTCCTTTCAGCATCTCCTCGGCTCTAGCTATGGTGTTGCTCGGTGCAAGAGGAAACACAGCGGGTCAGATGATTAAGGTAATGATTAATACTACTACATATCTCACACTTATGTAGTATGTTTAATGACCAGTAATTGAAAAGTGCATATATAGGCTATATGTGTGTGTTTGGACAAAGCTAGCTGTTGGGTTAAAAACTGAATTTAAAAAATTGGGTTTGAATTTGGATCTAAATTTAAACATTTTTTTTTTCTAAATTTGACCCAAACATGGGTTGAAAAACAACCCAGCATTTAGAGTTCATATGATACTCATTCTACCCATAATAATGCTGTGTAGGTCTTGGGCTTTAAAAACCATCTAAAACCCAACGCCGCGACTCCAGGACATCATGATTCAGTGGACCAAATTCATTCCAGCTTCAAAAAGTTCATGAGTGAGCTGAACAAACCAGGAGTCCCGTATGCGTTGAGTCTCGCCAACCGCCTCTACGGAGAGCAATCCTACCAGTTTGTTGAGGTAAGACTCGGTTTATTCACTGGAGGATCTGGAAATGTGCTCAACTCTAATATCATTTGCACCTCAATCGGTTTGATGTGTTACAGGAATTCCTCAATGACGCAAAAAGCTACTATGAAGCCGGACTGGAGAAGGTGGACTTCAAGAACAAACCAGAGGCGGCTCGCGTCAACATCAACAAATGGGTGGAGAAAAAAACACAAGGTGAAATCCAGCATAAACTTACTCTACAAATAATTATTTGATGTATTTCTGCTGCTTTTTAAGTTGAGCAAAATGTTATTTTAAAGACCATATTCAGCTTCATGGTTTCCTGAGATGAGCTATAAAGTTCTTTGGAGGTTAAAATTTTTACTTTTTAAAGCGTTTTTTATTTGGCCATTAAATTCATAAGAACTTTATTCCATAAGAGACAGGGGCTTTAATATTTTTTTTTTTTTTGTTTTGTTTGTTTTTTTTAGACCTAAATAACAAAAGTGTTAGAGATTCATTCAATTCAATTAGGCCTATGAGAATCAATTAAATCACTGATCAAAGTAAAAAAAAATATGTCCATTTGTGTTTTAGACAAAATCAAGGACTTGGTGCCACAGGGAGCCATTAATGCGAGCACGAAACTGGTTTTGGTGAATGCCATCTACTTCAAGGGAGACTGGGAGAAGAAATTCAAAAAAGAAGACACCAGTGATGGACAGTTTAAGCTGAACAAGGTGAGATTTCATGCTCTTTAAATATATATATATATATATATAATTTTAAAAGTCTTAAAAAGAGCAGTTATTAAGTGTTTCCATTGCTGTTTGACAGACTCAAACTAAACCAGTGAAGATGATGTATCAAAAGGCGAAGTTTCCTCTGGCCTCCATCCCAGAGATCAACAGTCAGGTTCTGGAGCTGCCGTATGTCGGGAAGAATCTCAGTATGTTGATCATCCTTCCTAATAAGATAGAAGATGACACCACTGGCCTTCAGAAGGTGAGAGAGCACAGATAATGACCTCCGTGGTCGTGAAAGGACAGACTCAGAGTTCATAGGTGACCTCCGTGGTCATAACAAAAAAGACTGATCATAAGTTCACAAGTGGCTTCACAAGTAGCCTCAATCCGCAGTGGCTCCAAGCAGAAAGCACGTCAGAAAACCGAGGCCTTTGTGTGTGCGTGTGTTCATCTCAGCCTCATTGATCTGTCATTGCTTGACAATGTCAGAAAATTTGAAATGCCAATCAAATCAAAGTAGGAGGAACTTAATTTTGACAAAATTTTACAACCGGCACATCCGGGAACTTAACTGTCAATTTTGTCCCCGCCCCCTTTTGGGGGAAACAAACTAGACTCCCCATAGACTTCAATACAAAATAACGGCAAAAACCAACGTCCGTACACAGCCGATAGGCGTAAATAACTTAAGAAATCATATAAAACATGTCAAGTAATTATATGTCCACCCTCCCTGCCGTAGAGCGTGAAAGATAATTTTTTTTATGCCCGTTATCAACTTGCCCAAGCTACCTGCCAAATTCATAATATATACATTAAGGTTTTTTACTTTAAAAACCGAAATAAAATCATTCAGGGGTTTACCTGGTGACTCGATGAGGTACAAGACAAGTAAATGTCCGGGTGAGACACCTCTGGCCACTGGGTGGGGTTGTTACCCCAATTTGACGCTGGGAGAATAAAGGGACATGTTTTTAAATTGACCAAATTAAGTTTGTGTATGTATCTTTCACGCTCTGTGGCAGGCAGGGTGGACATATAGTTACTTGACATGTTTTATATAAGTTATTTACGCCTGTCGGCGAATTGAGTGTTGTGCATTCACGCGTTTGACGCGAATGGGCTATATGCACGCATAAGTTCCGCATTTGACGTAAGGATGCTCGTCTATTTCCGGTTGTGTAGATTAAAGCGGAGGAAAACCGGAGAAAACGGGATTATGGCAGAGTCTTCAATATTTACTGTCCTCCCGTCTTTGAAACGAAACGTACATACGTTTAGATGTAATTTTATATATAGTTATGTTTATTTAATATAATTTTAAAAAGAAGCATAAACACAACGAGGGGTGTCTGTTTTATCTGTTTTTGTGACTAACGTTTCATTAGTATAACCATGGAGTATAAAATTCAATATAAATTCTCGGTATTGCATTGGACTCTATGATCGGCGGAAGTTATCGAGCATCCCTAATGCTTCACCGGAAATAACGCCGTGCATAGAGCCCATTCGCGTCTGCCGCCCGAGTTGAAAAATCTGAACTTTGGCGTGAATTCGCGCCGCGTTAACCAATCAGGAGCCTAGCTGCTTGCTCACGTGGTGAAGTGTCTGGATGCTTCAATAAATTATTTTGTTAATATGACTAAATGCATGGTGGGATTATGCACAACAAAGCTAATGTTTCATCACTTAAAACATTATTTCTATATACGAGACATGTTCATTTTGTATTGAATGTTATTCATTCCATATCTAGAAATAGTATTATGTTGTAAAGACAATCAACATATGTGCATAAATTCGTGTCTGGACGTGAGAGAGAGAAAAAAAATCACAGGACAGGTTAATAACTTTTGAAGGCTGGCTCTATTTATTATCAAAACAAAAATAAAAGACAGCTAGATTAGATGGATGAGGGCGAGGGTGATCCTCGCTCAGATGCGGGACAACAGGTCATCAAACTGGTCGCGTGACAGGCGGAAGTACCGCTGACAGCGGCCGTCATCCAGCGCAGCTCCTGGAGAGAGCAAATGGTGAAACTCGCCAAACGGTTCGGCTCCGAAGGGTCCGGTGGACACAAATATACGGCGACGATGATCCCCACGCCGCTGTTCTGCTCTCCAGAGTAAATACAGAGCGGTAACTCTCTTGATGAATGCTCGGTCGACATAAAAACAATGGCCGCCAACGGATTTTGATTCTGACACGCGTAAATTTCGCTTCAAACTTTACGCGCGGCAGTTTCGCTCTTGACACGCGAATTAACACTAGTGGTCAAGCGTCAAACTAGACGCGGCAGGCGCGAATTTGACGCGCGATTCGCGTCCGGTGTGAACGTAGCATTATCCGCATGAGTTTTTTAACCGAATTTCAGATAATTCGATTGACAAGTGGATGGAAACATGGCTATTGACACAAATACAAACAGATCCCAGTTTATGCAAATAGACGCACATTAACATGCCTCACTTTATTATCCAGCTTGAAAAGGCACTGACCTATGAGAAGCTCATGGAGTGGACCAAACCCAGCAAGATGATCCAACAGGAAGTTGAAGTGTCTCTGCCCAAATTTAAGGTCCTGGAAACCTACAAGATGAGGAGTCTTCTGATCAGCATGGGAATGGAGGATGTGTTTGACGGGCAGAAGGTGAACCTTTCAGGCATGTCCTCCAACAAGGACCTAGTGGTGTCGGAGGTGATCCATAAAGCCTTTGTTGAAGTAAATGAGAAAGGAACCGAAGCGGCTGCAGCCACCGTCACCGTCGATTATACATCCCCAATGCCCTCATCCACTCCCCCAAAAATCTTCACTGCAGACCACCCTTTCCATTTCTTCATCCGACATAATCCCTCCAATGCCATTCTGTTCTATGGACGCCTCTGTTCTCCTTGAAGACAGTGATGATGAAGTGATAATTGTAGATGACTGTGTTCCGCTTATAAATAAAATCATTAGTAAATAATTGAGTGAAATTGTCTGTATGCATTTACTTATAGAGTAATTTAGGAATCTTGATACAGGTCTGCACAAAATACAAAGAATGTAAAAGATTGGGGCGTGCACCTGAGAGACCCGCAGTGACAGCTGCTGTCAGACTCTAAAATGGAGAGCGACTGGAGTGACGCAGGTAGCTTTGCAACACAGAGCGGTCATTTGAAGTCCAGGACTTTTTCTTCGGAAGTGGAGGAAGACACGGGGCGATATCAATTCCAGCCGCTGGCTCAAACTGCGGTCTTAACTCCGGCATCTGATGAGTTTTGTGGAGTTGATGTCAATAGCGCGCGCTCTGTAGGCATGTTGATATTTTGCCGCTATGTGAAAAAAATCCAGCAAAATGCTCAATTCAATACTCGTAATTCCAACTCTTGACTCGCAGTGGTTTTGACGAAACGATGATTTTTAAACTGCCGAGGATGTGGTAGCTGTAGCTCGTACCAATGGCGTGGTGAGCTGAAACCGGTGTACGTCACGAAAAACCGCAAACGTCCAATAGTAAAATTCAACTGCAGTAGCCACCGTTCAACCTGAAGAGGGCAGCACTAAGACGTTTTTACACCATATATTGTAGAAATAAAACAGTTCATCATACCCATATGTCCAGTGGCGTAGCGTCTGGGCATGCAGGGTATGCACGTGCATATGGGCCCGGGCCAATAGAAGGCCTGCCCATGGGGAATTTTTAATTAAAACCAGGTAAACCTGCATACGTCAAGAAGAAACGCAAACATCCAATAGAAAAATTCAACTGCAGTAGCCACCGTTCAACCTGAAGAGGGCAGCACTAAGACGTTTTTACACCATATATTGTAGAAATAAAACACTTCATACCCATATGTCAAAAACGTTACTTGAATCATTGATCAGCATTTAAAAAAGCCCCATTCTTACAGATCATTAACTAAAAAAAGTTGGTTTAGGGTTTAGTTACCCTTTAAGACTGATCACTCTCACTTAATTCATGCTGAGAAGGAGAAATTAACCCTGTTAAAGGGGTCACTTTGAAATCAAGTTTTGATATGTTTTAGCTTACCTCAAGGGCATCCAAGATGTAGGGGTCTTTGTTTCTGCAGTATTTTCAATTCTGACATTTTTCGGTCAAACCGTTGATGTCTGTCAGTCATACAATGGAGGTCTATGGTCACCACCTCAAAGAGCATGCACAGAGAAGTCCAAATTAAACATGATTTAAAAACTCGTAAATGCAAGTACAAATTGATGGCCTAAGACACGAAACGAGCGGTTTGTGCGAAAAAACGTTTTTACCTCTTGTAACACAGCCATGTCAAACTGATCTAATGGCACAGGCACTTCGGTCTGCGCATGTACTGGAAGTGATCGGTTGCGTGTCTACGTCACTCATTATTTACACAGAGATTTCGGATGTTTTACCTTTCACTAAACATATTTATATATACATATTATACATATTATATAAACATATTTTTATATATATATATATATAATATATATATGGCACTAGTTGGCACTATGGATGAGTGAGTCATATTAAATCACACTGTCATCACTAGATGGCGTGAGTGATTTTTTTTGTGTCTGTCCACAACACCCGTTTTGTCTGTGTGTCTGTGACACACACACACACACACACACCAACTATAAATTTCAGTATAATATAAAGTTCCTTTAAACAGGAACAAATGAAAAACTACTGTGAGAAGAAACCCCTTTAAGCCAAAACCTGAAATCTTTTGCAAGAACAGCAAACTCGTGGTTTGCAGTGTCATAATGGCATTATTTGGCTAAAAATCAAAATCTCCCTGGCACAGATTACAGCAGCTCTACGGTATGATGGTGAACGCATGTTTTCACACTTACATGCCCAAACCTCACAGTCACACCCAATGACTCATACACTCACACCCCTGACGTACCTTTCTTTTACAAGTAAGTACCTTCACAACTGTTCTATTGAACAACGTTGGCCTGACTGATGGATATATGCCTGCAGGATATATGAACAAGAATATATTTGAATATTGCCACATTTTATTTCTCAATGTAATGGGAAAATATTTCATTAAAAAAAACATTTCACTAATGCTCATGAAAATTACATCATTCGCATAAATGATCACAGCGGGGGTTTTAAAATAATAAACATCACTTGTACAACAATTTTAGGAACAATAATAATCAGATTCAAAGCGTGCATGCTGGTTAAAAATGCAGTCCAACTTGCTATCCCCAAAGCATCATGGGAAATGAAATGATGACGACACAGATTAACCCTCGTTGGCTTATATCAACTTCTATTAAGTAAGATTGTAAAACATTACTGTCAAGTCACCTTCATATATATCACACTGTTTACAATATAGATTGATCTATAGAAAATCATTCAACATACTTAAAATGTTCAATGATATAGAGTAAGAATCCACAATGCATTTCAACATTATTCCATCCAGCTAACAAAAATATTATCTTAGAATGTTTTGACGTTCCCATTAAGATATGAACATGTTATTTCTGTAATGTTTTTATTATTAAAGGAATATTATTAAAGACCATATACTTTGAACAATTCTATTAAACTTACTTAATAACTTTGAGAGAAACCTGGTCAAAGAACGTTCACTGTAATAGTAGTAGCCAACACTCTGACAGCTTGACATCTGTATCAAATATGACTATTACAGAACTAAAAATGAAAAGGAAATCACAGATGTTGCATCCATGTTATTGGCAACCATTGGAGAACTGCTTTTGTTTCTATGGATCGCTGAGCTACTGCAGATGAACTGTCTTGACAACAGTTTCCACTCCTCTCCTTTTCTACAGACGCCTACATTCCTTTCAACAAAGCGACGAGTTTCACCATAAAGCCTTAAGTATTACAGAAGGGCCGGATTAGTTTGGAGGATGGGCTCTTCAGGGTGAGGCAACGTTTATAAGAATGACACTCAGTAGATCACTCATTCACCTCGGACACACGGGGAAACTTCATCGTTCCTGCTGAACACTCTAGGTAATGCCTTTTATTTGACTTCTCTGTTTGTTTGAAGAATTATGCAAACTGTTAAACGATTGTTCTGATTGTAAGAAAACTGATATCTTATGAGAGATAAAGCATTGATTGACTATCTGTTACTTTGCATAGGATATGGCAACTGATCTGAGTAATGCTGTGTTTGGGATTTTCACATTGTTATGCTGATCGTTTCTCTCTCTCTCTCTCTCTAGCTTGAGAAAATGGAGTCTTTGACTGCAGCAAACACACAGTTCTCCCTAAACCTGTTTAAGAAGATCAGCAAAGAAAACGCATCAGGAAATGTGTTCTTCTCTCCTGTCAGCATCTCCTCGGCTCTGGCCATGGTGTCGCTCGGAGCAAGAGGAAACACAGCGGCTCAGATGATTAAGGTGATCTCACACAATATACTTTTAAAAGAGGGTGACGGGAGAGTAGAGTTAGACAGAGGGACCAGGAAGTGATGCAAGCCTTTGCGCAACGAGTGCATGCATTCCAACCGACTCTAACTCTGTTTTAAAGCAACAGCACACTCAAAAATTAAGCCCCAAACTACCAAAAAGGTACATAATAGGAATGCCTTAAATGATTGGATAATATTGTCATGTTTAATGAGGTATGTTTTTACTGTTTGCAAGCTATTTAATTCATAGATTGTAATCAAATTTTAAAAAACTACATTTATAAAATGATCTCATATGAAGCACTTGATGGAACCCTTTACACTCTAAAAATTGCTGGGTTGTTTTAACCAAACTTTGGGTCAAATATAGACAAACCTAGCCATTGGGTTAATTTTTTAATTACATTTTTAACCCAACGTTCGGGTTTGTCCATATTTGACCCAAAGTTGGGTTAAAACAACCCAGCATTTTTAGAGTGTAAGATTCTATATAGAACCTTTTCTTCTAAGAGTGATTATATTCCAAGTTGCTATATTAAACTGTATGCAACAATACATGTAAAAGTTCATTCACATATGGGAAATTGTGTTTCCAGAATGAGACCCAATATGTGTAATTTGAGTTCTAACATTGTAGAGTGCCAGTTATCAATCAGTCATTTCTAGTGCATCTTTTTATTCTAATAGGTATTTTTGAGAAGGGATTTCACAATTGAAGTGATCAAAAGAGTGAGGTTATCATCATTAATTCTACCAAAATAATGCTTTGTAGGTCCTGGGCTTTAACAATCCTCCACCTGCACAAGCAATGATGCAACAAGCTCAGAAGCCCCAGATTACATGTGGCGTCAAGGATCAACATGGACCATCAATGATGCAGCAAACCCAGAAACCTCAGTTACCTGCTGAGTTTTTGGTATGGACATTTTCAACACTAACCTCATGGCTTAATGATTATTCTCTTAAGCGGTGCATGTATCTTTTGGGTTCGTCTGATTCATCTGATTAAATCTGATATTGTTGATGCTAACAGAAATGTCCTGACCAGAGGGTAGCCGGACGAAAACCCGAGGACCAAATTCATTCCAGCTTCAACAAGTTTATGAGTGAGCTGAACAAACCAGGAGTCCCGTATGCGTTGAGTCTCGCCAACCGCCTCTACGGAGAGCAATCCTACCAGTTTGTTGAGGTAAGACTCGGTTTATTCACTGGAGGATCTGGAAATGTGCTCAACTCTAATATCATTTGCACCTCAATCGGTTTGATGTGTAACAGAAATTCCTCAATGACGCAAAAATCTACTATGAAGCCGGACTGGAGAAGGTGGACTTCAAGAACAAACCAGAGGCGGCTCGTGTCAACATCAACAAATGGGTGGAGAAAAAAACACAAGGTGAAATCCAGCATAAACTTATTCTGAAATTTAAACTCTTCACTCTTACAAAATAAATAAAAAATATGTTTTAACAGCACTTTAGGTTGAGCAAAAATGTCTTTCATGGGCCATGTTTGGCTTCATGGGTTCTTGAGTTATATAGTAGAAATATCAACCCAACCAGTTCAAATCACTGCTCAAAGTGAACAATGTCATTTGTATTTTAGCGAAGATCAAGGACTTGGTGCCACAGGGAGCCATTGATGCGATGACGAGACTTGTTTTGGTGAACGCCATCTACTTCAAGGGAAACTGGGAGAAGAAATTCCCAAAGGAAACCACCAGTGATGGACAGTTTAAGCTGAACAAGGTGAGATTTCATGCTCTTTTAAAATTATTTTAGCAGTCAAGATTTAATCTGGGTTATAATGTGTTTCCATTTATGTTTGGTAGAATCAAACTAAACCAGTGAAGATGATGCATCAAAAGGCAAAGTTTCCTCTGGGGTTCATCGAAGAGATCAACAGTCAGGTTCTGGAGCTGCCGTATGTCGGGAAGAATCTCAGTATGTTGATCATCCTTCCTAACGAGATGGAAGACGACACCACTGGCCTTCAGAAGGTGATTTGAATGCTTATAAGGGTCACAAACTGGATTATTTTATTATTTTATAATGTTTCATAGGGAGCCCTTATAATGTTAGTATGATTTTTACACAAGAAGTTTGAAGGGGCGACACGTTGTGAGACTTCAGTGTAAACTGCGATCTTACATGTTTACATATGAAATAGCTAGTATTACATGTGGAACTCTCTCGAAATCTTTTACAATGTTTTTACTATTCCAGCTACCGAGATTAATGAATCGTAAAAGTATTGATCATATATATCAATCTATTCCAATCACATGAAAGGTTGTAATGTGAAGTGATTCTCATCATTGCAACACAATTTATGCACTTTCACAAATGCTTTCACCAAATGGCAATGCAAACACAATGTAAATACAGTAAGAGCCTCGCTGTAGTGTAACATCGTCATTGATTTCATAACGTTTGGAAAGGGAGTGTTCTTTGATCACTTCCTGTATACAATTGAATCACAGTTTAAATAAGATTATTTTCATCCTACTAAGAGAAACGAAGTGAAGTTGATTGTTTAGTCGCTGGCTTGATTTACTGATGCATAAACAGTATTGAATGATTTTGAGAGATAATCTGTCTGAACTTGAATTTTTGTAGGCCTACATCAAAAATCAATGATCACAGATCAGGCATTAGAATAAGCAAGATTACTTACATGTTTGTGGCGTTGCTGGCAGATCCATATCGTAAAAGTCCGGTTTGCAAAATCTGCGCCGAAATTTACCAAATAAATAAATCCACAGTGAAATGCACCTAATACAAACAAATAATGCACTGCTACATTCCCATTGTTGAAAAAAAGAAACCCCATATTAGGATCGTTTGGAAGGTAATGGTATTGATCCTGTGTCGATCTTTTCTAGTTCTCGTGTCACTCGTTCACACCAGACGCGGAGCGCCGCGACGCCGCCAATTTCGGCGTAGGCTATGGTCTTTTTTTTTTTCTTTTTTTTTTTCCGCGAGCCGCGAGTGATCCGCGTCAATTTTGGCAGGAAGTTACATCAAGAAGTTACACCTCGAGCTCGAGGAAGTTACACCTCGAACACTCGACGATCCGGTCAATTGTCAAAATATAAGCTATTTTCAAATTAAAATACAGCGAGTGACAATTGCGACAGACAAACAGGGAAACAACGAGAGAGAGAGAGGCAGCGGAGTTGAAAAGTGAAAGTGGATGATGTCAAATTAATCGTTGAAGTGGAGAAGTACAGGGAATTGAATGACCCCCAGCACAGTGTACAAACTTCTTGGTTACAGAAACATGGTGTATTTATATTTTGAAGACTTACCCATGACGTAAAAAATTGTCGCTTGTCGACCTCCGCGAAGAATACGCGTCTGGTGTGAACAGGCAGGCGCCGGACCACACGTGATTTTCCGTTCCGCGCCAATTCCGCGTCCAGTGTGAACCCGGTGGGCCGCACCAAAGACGCGGTGATGTAGACGTAGGCGTTGATGTTCTTCTGCAAGCGGTCTTTCAATTTTCAAAGGCGTCACAAGTCTCCACTTTTTAGATCCTGTCGTTTTCTAGCCTTGGTTTCAATAAAAGCAGTTTTTGGAATAACAATGTTTTGAAACTTGCAGTGTATTTTTTATAGTAACTGTACGGAGCCCCTGAGGGGACCTTTGCAAAAAATATATATGTATATGTATATATATTTTTTAAAAAAGACTATCGCGCATGCACGCATTAGGCCTACAATTTACGGTTTGCTATAGCATCATTTATGCAAAAGTGGAACTATGATATGTACAGCTTTTTTTTCATCAATAATTCATGCGCATCCACATCCACGCTCTTGTTTTCCTGACAGTGACGCAAATTGTACACAAACCGGAAATTGTACTGCGTGCATACAAGAAACTTTCGCGTGCACACAAGATACGTTTTCCTTTAGGGGCTCCGTATTACGGTCAAATATCAAGGGAAATTTTAATTCTCAGTTCTTGACCCCTTTAATTATCCAGCCGTGACCAGTCAGATGTTTACTCGTGGAGCATTTTCATCTCGATTGAACTATTCATCTGACATGTCTCTCTTATTATCCAGCTTGAAAAGGCACTGACCTACGAGAAGCTCATGGAGTGGACCAAACCAGAAGTCATGCGTCAACAAGAGGTTCAGATATCTCTGCCCAGATTTAAGATGGAGGAAAAATACGACATGAAGAGTCTTCTGATCAGCATGGGAATGGAGGATGTGTTTGACGAGAAGAAGGTGAATCTTTCAGGCATGTCCTCCAACAACGACCAGGTGCTGTCGAAGGTGATCCATAAAGCCTTTGTTGAAGTCAACGAGGAAGGAACCGAAGCGGCTGCAGCCACCGGCGCCATCATGATGACACGGTGTTTAGTCATCCCGCAGTTCTTCAACGCAGACCATCCTTTCCTTTTCTTCATCCGACACAATCCAACCAAGAGCATTTTGTTTTACGGACGCTTCTGCTCTCCATGAGGGAGTTCTGCTGCATGAGACGCTTCCGGCTGGTTTAGATGATGATCTGGTTCAAATGAGTAGGAGAGACTCGAGACAACTACTGCAATTTACAGGAGAACGTATTGGATGGGTCTCTTCATGCTACTGTATATGCAATCAAATCTTTCAGTTTACAGAAATATTTTTGTTGTTTCTTGCACTATATGAGGCTCTGTTATACAAGTATAATATGTATGCATTAACTGTAACAGTATATTAAACATAAATTAAACAAATCTTCATTAAAAGTTTTTATTGTTATTTAAATTTAAACCACTGTCAGAAATAAACTAGTCAAACTGGTGCCAATGAAACTAAAAGTAAACTGGTTTCTGAAAAGGTGTTGAGGGGTAACAACGAGGAAATTGAACTAACATTTTAATTAGAAAAATTAATTATTTGTATGAATGTTATATTAGGGTGCATACTGTATGTTGCAATATATGTATCATTCAATTAATTCTTTATTGGCTAAAATATTTTTTGGGAACCTACAGGCATTTTTGGTAAACAAAGCATTCCTGGAATTAAGGCCGGCCAACTCTCAATGTCATCCTGAGCCCCCGGCCTGGACACGCTCCCACAGTTCCAACCACTCCTTTCAGGCACCAGGGGGTGAACCGTGCAGTGCTGTGTCCTGTTGGCGGGGCACTAGTAGTGATGGCGAGATGAAACTTCATAAAGCATTGAAGCGTTCCATCCAATTGGTTCACTCATGTGCCGAAGCTTCATGGTGCTTCATTTGCTCTATTGTGCCATCAAGTGGACAATAAATGTAAAACGTGCAGTGTGATTATAATGACACTATGGCTTTGGTCTCTAAAGCATTTAATGAATTAATCAATGATGTTTGTGATGCTTATACATAAAGTATAAACTTTTATATGGTGTCTGTCTTTATGATACAATGACAGGGTCAAAATGAAAAGTGGAAACAAGGGAACTTGTACAAATACTTATATTTCAAATAGACCGCCAAACCACGAACCACTTCCTGAAGCAGTCACGTGGTGCAGCCGGCTCGCGAGGCTTCAAACGTCACCACATACGTCACCGACTTAAGCCTTGATACGCACTTCACAGAAATCATCCCGGATTACTCGACACACGCTTGGAAGCCTCGATACGGGAAGACACATCACTAGGCACTAGCACATTGCCGTATTCAAATAGATCTAATAATGCTGGCAAAGCACACAACAATGAATGAAAATCTAAATTTAAAATCTAAACCATCAAGAGTGTAACAGACACACATAGAGGATAATTTGGAGACTGGTTACGAGTTAGTTGAGACACAATATTCTACAACAATTACAAAAGTCTTGTTAGTCAAGTCAAGTATATTTATATAGCACTTTTCACAATATAGATTGCATCAAAGCAGCTTCACAGTGTCAATCAAAACACAATGTTCGTTTCTTAAGTGGAAAAATATCCGCGTTTGGTAGAGCTGATCAATGGTATTACTGATTGGTTAATTCATTTGAATATCCCCAACTGAGCAAGCCAAAGGCAACAGTGGTAAGGAACCAAAAAACTATTTCAAGTGACCCAATGGTGTCCTAAAACTGCATCAGGTGACCTAATGGTGTCCTAAAACTCCATTAAGTGACCTAAAGGTGTCCTAAAACTCCATCAAGTGACCCAATGGTGTCCTAAAACTCCCTCAAGTCACCCAATGGTGTCCTAAAACTCCAACAAGTGACCTAAAGGTGTCCTAAAACTCCATCAAGTGACCCAATGGTGTCCTAAAACTCCATCAAGTGACCTAAAGGTGTCCTAAAACTCCAACAAGTGACCTAAAGGTGTCCTAAAACTCCATCAAGTGACCCAATGGTGTCCTAAAACTCCATCAAGTGACCCAATGGTGTCCTAAAACTCCATCAAGTGACCCAATGGTGTCCTAAAACTCCATCAAGTGACCTAAAGGTGTCCTAAAACTCCAACAAGTGACCTAAAGGTGTCCTAAAACTCCATCAAGTGACCCAATGGTGTCCTAAAACTCCATCAAGTGACCCAATGGTGTCCTAAAACTCCAACAAGTGACCTAAAGGTGTCCTAAAACTCCATCAAGTCACCCAATGGTGTCCTAAAACTCCAACAAGTGACCTAAAGGTGTCCTAAAACTCCATCAAGTGACCCAATGGTGTCCTAAAACTCCATCAAGTGACCTAAAGGTGTCCTAAAACTCCAACAAGTGACCTAAAGGTGTCCTAAAACTCCATCAAGTGACCCAATGGTGTCCTAAAACTCCATCAAGTGACCTAAAGGTGTCCTAAAACTCCATCAAGTGACCCAATGGTGTCCTAAAACTCCATCAAGTGACCTAAAGGTGTCCTAAAACTCCATCAAGTGACCTAAAGGTGTCCTAAAACTCCATCAAGTGACCTAAAGGTGTCCTAAAACTCCAACAAGTGACCTAAAGGTGTCCTAAAACTCCATCAAGTGACCTAAAGGTGTCCTAAAACTCCATCAAGTGACCCAATGGTGTCCTAAAACTCCATCAAGTGACCCAATGGTGTCCTAAAACTCCATCAAGTGACCTAAAGGTGTCCTAAAACTCCATCAAGTGACCCAATGGTGTCCTAAAACTCCATCAGGTGACCCAATAGGGGGTGGGGGGGGTGGGGGAGGGAACCTTGGGAGAACCCAGGCTCAGTCGGGGGCCAGTTCTCCTCTGGCGTTTGCGAACTAGAGGCCGGATTTACAGTAACTGTAAGGTAAAAATATATTTGAATGTCACTAAACAGACTTTAAACGCGATCCTGTGATAAATGCTGACGGCATTCAAATGCGTATTAAGAACTGCTTCTAGTTATGTGCGTTTGAATATATGTGCGCAGGTTTGCAATTCCCTACAAAACCATGCCTGAACAAACTACTTGTCTTGTCTATAGATTTGATACATCATTTTTTCTTTCTAAATTTTTTTTAGACGACTCTTCACTTAATCAGTCCAGCGTTGCTTGATTGTGTGTAAGACGGTCTTGAAGGACCCTGGTGCTGTCTTGGGAGTCAACTCTCTTTTGCTGCCTTTCTCTAGTGGCCAGTCAATGAATTGCAGTTTAAGTCACTTGCGTGTTGGTTTCAAGAGAGATACAGAAAGGTTTCTGCTTCCTCCAACACACACAGAAACTTCATATTTCCTGTTGCATACGTAAGGCTTTTTATTTAACTTCTCTATTGTTACAAGTACTTTAATTCAATGATCTGAGTAAACAGGTCTAATAGAACAGATTTGGACACTTCAGTTATGTATGTGTAACAGTGAAAATGCAAAGTGTTTAAACTACTTCTCCAACTTTGTCAAAACTAAGATCATTTGTTTCTTTCTTTACAGGAACTGACAACTGAACTGAGCAATGCTGTGTTTGGGATTTAATTCTTTTCATGTTGTTATGCTGATCGTATCTCTCTCTCTTTCTAGCTTGTGAAAATGGAGTCTTTGACTGCAGCAAACACACAGTTCTGCCTCGACCTGTTCAAGAAGATCAGCGGAGGAAACGCATCAGGAAATGTGTTCTTCTCTCCTGTCAGCATCTCCTCGGCTCTGGCCATGGTGTCGCTCGGTGCAAGAGGAAACACAGCGGCTCAGATGATTAAGGTGATCTCACACAATATACTTTTAAAAGAGGGAGACGGGAATGTAGAGTTAGACATAGGGAGCAGGAAGTGATGCAAGCCTTTGCACAAGCCTTTGAACATGCTTAAAATGCATTCCAGATTTCAAAGTGGCCATGCATGAACTGCATTGTTTTATTATTTTATTATGTTTCCTGGAGTGCTCTTAGATTTAGTCGTTGATCACACACACCCTTTTCATGCTTCCCCGTCATTGCAAGTGTTGACTTCAATCCTGTGCGCTTTTTCCTAAACTGATTTTAGTCTCTGATTTGAACGCTCTGTTTGAAGGGGCGTGTCTGCTGTGAGACTTCAATGTAAACGCCCACTGCTGTGATTGGCTAACATCTTTATAGCTGAGTATTACATGTGGGACTCTCTCGTAACACGTTTAGCACTTACTATTACAGCTCTCAAGTGTAACTTGTGTTGTTTGTTGATTATAGAATTATATTTAGATTAGCCTATATAGCCAGAGATTGCAAAAGTACACACATCCTTCACTCAGGCAAAAGTACAGATACTCAGGTCACGTTTAAAAAGACTCTAGTAAAAGATGAAGTACACTTTTCCACTCAAGGCAAAGTAAAATAGTATGGGCTCTACTTAAGTAAAAAGTAGACATTGCTACCACCTGTTTTAGTGTCCCGCTGGTAACTGGACCACATCCTATTAAAACTTTAATACAAAAGAACTATTATTAGCTATTAGCTAATGAATGTATCCAATTATACACCAATGGGGGAGTCATGTTTTATGTTGAAAAAGTCGCACAATGACAATAAATAGTATTGATCATGCCACCAAATACAGATTAGAATTAAAGTAATGAGCCAGGTTTGAAGTAGAAAGTACAGATACAGTATTTGTGTCAAAAATAAGAGTGAAAGTAAAATGAAGTACTGATACCAGAAAAATGTTGTTTCCTGAATGAGATCTAATCTGTAGCGGCGTCTGAAATCACATTCTGACTATGTACAACTGTACATTTGATTTTGAATTTACTTTTTGGGTATTACAAAGCGCGTTATATGAAGTATGTATGAAATCTAGACATACTACATCCTTCATGTTGCTACTGTCATGTGATCTACCAGAGTCAGTTGCATTGCTTCACTGCCATTCATAAATCCTCTCCTGTTGTCTTGGATAGGAAAGTGTACATTGAATGTGCAATTCAGAATCTTGGAAGTAGCGGGTCATCATTTAAGTCACGATATATTTTGTATAAGTTATCTTTATAAACTCTACCATAACAATGTTGTGTAGGTCCTGGGCTTTAACAATGAACCACCAATGATGCAGCAAACCCAGAGTCCTCCGACACCTGCTAAACTCAAGGTTTCGTATGAATATTTCCATCAAACACTAACCCAGTTAACAGGGAACTTTAGCAAACATTCTGTCAAGGTTCTGTTGCATGAACATCTGTATTTACTGTAGAGATGCATGTATCCTTTGGGTTCGTCTGATTCAACTGATTAAATCTGATATTGTTGATGCAAACAGAAATGTCCAGAGGAAAAACCTGAGGACCAAATTCATTCCAGCTTCAACAAGTTTATGAGTGAGCTGAACAAACCAGGAGTCCCGTATGCGTTGAGTCTTGCCA